TGCCAATGGAACTGGTTCTCTTGTATTTATTGATGATATGACTGCTGACAAAAGCAGCACGATGAATTCTGAAGTGTTTCGGGCAATATTATCTGCTCATATTCAGCCAAATGATTCAGAACTCATTGGACACTGCTTCACAGTGCAGATGGACAATGGACCCAAAGCATACTGCAAAAGCAACCAAAGAGTTTTTAATGGAAAGAAGTGGAATGTTATGCAATGGCCAAGCCAATCACCTGACCTGAATCCGATTGAGCATGCATTTCACTTGCTGAAGACAAAACTTAAGGGAAAATGCCCCAAGAACAAGCAGGAACTGAAGACAGTTGCAGTAGAGGCCTGGCAGAGCATCACCAGGGATGAAACCCAGCGTCTGGTGATGTCTATGCGTTCCAGACTTCAGGCTGCAATTGACTGCAAAGGATTTGCAACCAAGTATTAAAAAGTGAAAGTTTGATTTATGATTATTATTCTGTCCCATTACTTTTGGTCCCTTAACAAGTGGGAGGCACATATGTAAACTGTTGTAATTACTACACCGTTCACCTGATTTGGATGTAAATACCCTCAAATTAAAGCTGACAGTCTGCAGTTAAAGCACATCTTGTTCGTTTCATTTCAAATCCATTGTGGTGGTGTATAGAGCCAAAAATGTTAGAATTGTGTCTATGTCCCAATATTTATGGACCTGACTGTATATATATGCTGTTCTAGCATTTCTGTATTTTTGAGATCCTGGGTCATGATGAAGAGGGCTATCCTGCCACATGCGCCAACCTCTGCACCTTGATCTCAAGGCCAATTTATACACACTGGCATCAGTTGGCTGTACAGTATACCTTCAAGTATTATCAACTGTTATATGTGAATGTTTTAAATGATTTTAACTTGCATGTTTCTAATATGCTGCAATAAAATTGAACTTTGTATTTTACATTATCCTTTTTTATGTGTGTTATACCATTGGATGCATAATAAAGACCCATTTAGTCGTAATTCTCCCTATTCATATTTTGTAAGGTATGATACCTCCAGTGGTATGAGAAAAGTTACATGCTGTCCCTACATATAGACTGGATTCGAATGCTGGTTTTCAAGCTTGATCATTTGAAAGAAGCTGGTCATTAGACTGGCTTCTGTTGAACAGACAGCAGTACACATGGACCAAACTTTGGCCAGGTTCTGCTGAACTGTCTGAACTGCAGTCTGTGTATATCCTGCTGTAGTGAATATTAACAAACGGTCTTTCCTGTATTTAGACATTACTTTTATGTCTGATCACCTTGCATCATCTCAGAGTATAAGGGTCTTATCCTTGCAAGTGCTGCCACAGGCTTGAGCTTTGCACATAAATATACCATGAGACTTGGGTCAGGTAGTGCCCTGCTGGCTCCTTACTAAAGGACAACCATTTGGCTGAACAACCATCTCTCTCAGGCCAAAAATTGTTTAATTTTCCCCAAACAAGACATTTTCAAACTTTTAGGGCCCATTCACACTAGGAACATGCTGTGTGCTTCTGTGCTTTTCACATGCAGTTTTGTGCCATGTGATTTCAGCTCATTCATTTTGAATAGGCTGAAATTACACTGCGCCAAAGGTAGTGCATGCACTACTTTTGACAATGCACTGCAACTGGACCACATGGTAATTTTGCACAATGCAACCTGGTGAGGGCAAACGCACTGCGTTTGAGGTGTCATTAACATTGCACTGGCACCCACTGCAGATCGCAAGGGCAGTGCATTCTGAACACAGGTCTCCCACACTGCGTTCTAGTGTGAACAGACCCTTACACAAATGTTGCAGCCTATTTTTGTTTGTCACTTATACATATAGTGCTTTTACAGAGAACAATGAATCATTAGCAATATAATATTGCATGCCTATTTATCTGTAAACATGCTATACATGCTGTATATCTATTGTGAGTCAATTCCATCCCTGTTCATGCTGAACTGACATTAGGGTAAGGCCCTCTTTTTAAAGGCACTGTGCTGGGTATACTGAAACGTGGGTAAGTGAGGGAATCAAGACAAGTACTGGGTAGACTAAACTGACAGGGTCACGTCTAAACAGAAGGCAGCCTTTAACCGTTTCCTGACCGCCCTATGGCAGATATACTGCTACAGGACGGCACGGGTACGCAAAGTCGCGTATATATCCGTGACTTTGCATATCCGGGTAGGCACGCCCTACCCACACCACCATTTGCTGCCGAGGCTGTCAATCACCGAGTCCCGGCCGGTGATTATTCGACAGCGCCCGGTGACTGCTGAGCACCTCTGAAGGGGAGGAGAACTGTTTGTAAACAAAATAGTTCTCCTCCCTGTAAGCTCATGCACACTGCTTTGGATGGCTGTACACAGCACAGCCATGCAAAGCAGTGTGCTTACAGTGAGGCACACAGACACCGCCCAATGTAAAACAGCACACAGTTAACCCTTTCATCGCCCCTTCCTGCTCAGTGCCATTAGTACAGCGTCTGTGCTTTTTTTTAGCACTGATCACTGTATTGGTGTCACTGGGGATGTCGGTGACACCAAATCAGTTCCCCTCAGTGTCAGAATGCCCGCTGCAGTCCTGCTATAAATTGTTGATCGCCGCCATTACAAGTAAAAATTAAACAAATTCCAGTACCGCCATTTGTAAACACTATAGCTTTCACGTAAACCAATTAATTTACACGTATTGGGATATTTTAGCAAAGACGTGTAGCAGAATACATTTTGGCCTAAATTTATGACAAAATTAGATTTTTTTAATTTTTTTTTACTGGACACATTTAATAGAAAAAAGTCCAAAATATTGTTTTTTTTCTCAAAATTGTTGGTCTTTTTTTTTAACGCGAAAACTAAAAAACACAGGCAATCAAATATCACCGAAAGAAAGCTCAATTCATGGGAAAAAAGGACGTACATATGATTTGGGTGCAGCGTTGCATGACTGTGCAATTGGTAAAAAATATTGTTTTTTTCTCAAAATTGTCAGTCTTTTTTTTATAGTGTAAAAAATAAAAAATGCACAGGTGATCAAATACCACCAAAAGAAAGCTCAATTTGTGGGAAAAAAGGATGTACATTTCATTTGGGTGCAGCATTGCATGACCGCGCAATTGTCACTTAAAGTAACGTAGTGCCATAACACCAAAAGTGGCCTGGTCAGGAAGGGGGGGTGGGCAGTGGTTAAAAAAAGAGTGAATATTTTTACCTTTCCTGCAGAAGGGGAGCAAAAGCTCAGAAGTGTGGAATACATGCAGCGGCTGGGGAGCAACAAAGTGACAATTTTTCTACAGACGTGTTTGCTGGAAAGGTAAGTATAGCATATTCACTTTTTTCCTTTATAAACTGGTTCCTGTATAGAAGAGACCCTGTAGGGAAGGGGGTCACTTCAAACATGGATAACCAGATAACAAGACAAGTACTGAGTATAGGGAAACGTGGGTAAACATGGGAATGAAGACAAGTGCTGGGTGTGCAGTAGCATCCATAACTCCTTTGTACAGGGAATAAAATAATAATAAAAAGAAAACATAAACGTATAATTAAAGGAAAAACTGTAGCTGCTGGTATTTCTCAAAGGCAACAGCTTATCTTTCACGCGTTGATAATCATTTTCAAACTCCTTTTGAAAAGCTGCGTGCTGCTGAGTGTGTAAAATACATGCTACTTTTTCACAATGCTTCTCATTTAATAAGTTTGAAACATTCATTAACCTCCTCTGTTACAAGAGCTTCCACTGCTGTTTTCAACTGCTCCCAGAAAGCTAGATTATAAAGTAGTACTTTGATGTTGCTACTTATTTACACTGTAAACTTCCATTTCATTTAAATCTCGCTATGGTAATATGGCTGTTGTTAACTGCCTGCTGCTATTGCGGTAACTGGGAATGCTCATCTTTTTCTGAGGGAATACATCACTTTTTATATTCTTTGTCAAAAGCCACTCAAAACAGGCTTGGATTTGTGGAAATTCAGCCGAGCCTTAGTAGTCCTTCAAATGACTTTACTGTAATGTGGTCTCCAAGGTAATGATCTAGTCACTTTTTGCAGCCATTTCATAAAGGGAATGCTTTTATTGGTTTACAAACATCAATGTAGTAAAAATATTAAAATGCAAAACTATCACTAGCATAGATGTACTTTTCAAAAGGCACCAATGCCTGTGCCTAGGGAACCAGAAGTTAAGTTTTTTAAGGAGTTTTCATCAATCAACAAAAAAAGATTGAATTTTTGTGAAAACTAGTTGATGAATTTCCCTTTTTATTTGGACAAACTGGTATATTTTCAGTACAAGCTTTTGGGGGTCTACCCCCTTCTTATAGGGTCCAAACTGTACTGATACACAAAGGTTTAGCACACTATTAGGAATACATCCATAAAGACAACAATCTTTGGAGGAAATAAAACACACAGTAATAAAAGTAAGAAAGTTCATTGATTGAGAAATAGATGGTGGAATGGGGGGAGGGGGTAGAGATGCAGAAGTATAAAGGTCATAAAATAACAATGAAAACTCAGATGAGTGTGATTATGGCTGCTGCAGTCTTCAAAACACCTTCCTGAAGATGTCCAATTACAGACGAAACTAGTTAAAGAAGTGTTCCCAGCCGATACATCCCATCCCATCCCATCCCATCCCTGGAGCGCAAGCCGGCTTTTGATTTCAGGGCAGTGGCAGGTCCTTAGGCACAAATACATGTGAGTTTGGTGTAATTGTTAGGTTTATATGATTTAATAAAGTCAGCTGCTTTGCTCAATGAACCTTTTCCCTGATATTGTTTTTTGAGTGGTGGTGTATTGCATGGAAAGAAATCGCATTCCTGGTACACGAGAATGGTCAAGTTGGTGGCAAGACACACAGTGGGTCCAACCAAAAAACATGCAGTGAGACCTACACTATATTGCCAAAAATATTGTGACACCCCTTCAAAATCATTGGATTTGGGTGTTCCAATCACCTCTATGGCCACAGGTGTATAAAATCAAGCACCTAGCCATGCAGACTGCTTCTACAAACATTTGTGAAAGAATGGGTCACTCTCAGGAGCTCAGTGAATTCATGTGTGGTTCCGTGATAGGTTGCCACCTGTGCAATAAGTCCATCTGTGAAATTCCCTTGCTACTAAATATTCCACAGTCAACTGTTAGTGGTATTATAACAAAGTGGAAGTAACTAGGAACAACAGCAACTCAGCCACGAAATGGTAGGCCATATAAAATGACAGAGCAGGGTCAGCGCATGCTGAAGCGCACAGTGCACAGAAGTCACCAACTATCTGCAGAGTCAAGATCTAAAGACCTCCAATCTTTGGATTATCGCAACAACAGTGCGTAGAAAATTTCATGGAATGGGTTTCCATGGCTGAGCAGCTGCATCAAAGCCTTACATCACCAAGAGCAATGCAAACCATCGGATGCAGTGGTGTAAAGCACGCCACCACTGGACTCTAAAGCAGAGGAGACGTGTTCTCTGGAGTGACGAATCACACTTCTCTGTCTGATAATCCAATGGACGTGTCTGGGTTTGGCAGCTGTCAGGAGAACGGTACTTGCCTGACTACACTGTGCCTAATGTGTGAAGCTTGGTGGAGGGGGGATTATGGTGTGGGGTTTTTTTCAGGGGTTGGGCTTGCCCCTTAGTTCCAGTGAAGGGAACTCTTAAGGCATCAGCATACCAAGACATTTTGAACAATTTCATCCTCCCAACTTTGTGGGAACAGTTTGGGGATGGCCCCTTCATGTTCCAACATGACTGCACACCAGTGCACACAGCACGGTCCATAAAGACATGGATGAGTGAGTTTGGGCTAGAGGAACTTGATTGGCCTGCACAGAGTCTTGACCTCAACCTGATAGAACACCTTTGGGATGAATTAGAGCAGACTGTGAGCCAGACCTTCTCATCCGACATCAGTGCCTGAGCTCACAAATGCACATCTGGAAGAATGGTCAAACATTCCCATTTAGAAAATATTAATGTCTTCCATGCATCACTGGAGGTGAATATGTATGGTCCTGTAACATTGAAGGGATGGTTCCTTTTATGTATATGATGCATTTTAGTGGATTGATGTGTGTGCACAGTTTGAAGCATTTATTGTTGCAAGGTTTTTGTTCCATTGTTTGTGTTCCTGTACCCAAAGTAAAGTTTTTTGCTGATTAATTTATGTCCGAGTTTGCGTGGTTGCCTGAAGGCCAGCATTGGGGGTTGTTAGAAGAATTTTCTCAGCATGTTATGTTTTGTTACGATGAGTTGCCACTTCTTGATTATCCTTCTTATCCTATCTAGTGTTGGATTGTATAGTTACTAGTGGTATTCAGCTATGTTTTTAGTGGGGGATTTTCTCTTTGTTTTCAAATAGTGGTTATGCTTGTACTAATGGCTTTGTTCCTTTAACCTTTCTTATGGAAGAATTCTGCTGGTAATCTGAGATGTTTATTTCTGTTTTCTTATTTGGCATGTTGGGGCTTGAAAGATGGAACTGTGGAGATAGTGGCACTGGTCATAGTATTATGTTCGGTTTACAGTATATTGGTGTGTGCAGTTTCTCATTGCTGATAGATACTGTAGTGTCTTGGAAGTTCACACACGCGGCAATTTTTAATTTTGATCGAGGGGTGAAACACGTTAAAGGAGAAGTACAGCCAAAGCTTGTTTGCCTGTACTTCTCCTGTGCTTGTAAACTAATGGCTTTGTTCCTTTAGGCTTTCTGATCACAAGAGTGTAGTTAGTTCTGACCATGTAACAGAGCCAGTCCAGGCTGGGGAAAGATCCCGACCATATGGTTGGGATCCAACCAAGAAGCCTTGACTGGCACCTGGCTCAGTCTCTGAGCTATCTGCTGTGCCTGAGGCAGCTTCTCCCACCCCCTCCACAGCCTGGAGCTCCAGTGAGCATGGGGGGGCACAGAGCAGACAGCAATAGCTGACAGTCAAAAGCTCTCTGTTCAAGGAGCACTGAGAACTGAGCTACCAGCTGTCTTTGATCACTCAGTTCCACAGTCTGTGTTGATTTGGGGAGCCATGTCATCTGCTGGTGTTGGTCCACTGTGTTTTATTAAGTCCAGGGTCAACGCAGCCGTCTACCAGGAGATTTTGGAGCACTTCATGCTTCCTTCCGCAGACGAGCTTTATGGGGATGCTGACTTCATTTTTCAGCAGGACTTGGCACCTGCCCACACTGCCAAAAACACCCAAACCTGGTTCAATGACCGTGAGATTACTGTGCTTGATTGGCCACCAAACTCGCCTGACTTGAACCCCATAGAGAATCTATGGGGCATAGCCAAGAGAAAGATGAGAGACATGAGACCGAACAAAGCAGAAGAGCTGAAGGCCGCTATTGAAGCATCCTGGTCTTCCATAACACCTCAGCAGTTCCACAGGCTGATAGCTTCCATGCCACGCCGCATTGAGGCAGTAATTGCTACAAAAGGGGCCCAAACCAAGTACTGAGTACATATGCATGCTTATACTTTTCAGAGGGCCGATATTGTTCTATGTACAATCCTTGTTTTATTGATTGCATGTAAAATTCTAATTTTCTGAGATTGTGGATTTGGGGTTTTCATGAGCTGTAAGCCATAATCATCACAATTATGATAAATCACGGCTTGAACTATCTTGTTTTGCATCTAATGAGTCTATCTCATATATTAGTTTCACCTTTTAAGTTGCATTACTGAAATAAATGAACTTTTGCACGATATTCTAATTTTTTGAGTTTCACCTATATTTTAATTGGATCCAGATCGCCCATGGAAAGAAAAAATATTTGCTTTTACAAAAATCTGACCGTTTTTGTTCCTCATATTGCTCAAATGTGTTTATTTCTTAAATTTACTTCTTTTAGGAGGTGTGAGATGGTTTCATTATTTAGGTATTAGTAGTTTTGTAGCCAAAATAGGAAATGTAACTATACATTTTTTACATATCATTATCAAGTGTTCAAAAAATGAATTTATTCAGGAGTAGTGCAAATGTTACTTTATTTATATACCACCCAGCTTTGTCCCAGATGATGAGATATATATACACTGCTCAAAAAAAAATTAAAGGAACACTTTGAAAACACATCAGATCTCAATGGGGAAAAATATGCTGGATATCTATACTGATATGGACTGGGTAATGTGTTAAGAATGTAAGGATGCCCCATCTTTGATGGAAATTATCAACCTACAGAGGCCTGAATTCAAAGACACTCCGAAAATCAAAGTGAAAAAATGAGCAGGCTAGTCCATTTTGCTGAAATGTCATTGCAGCAACTCAAAATGGTACTCAGTAGTTTGTATGGCCCCCACATGCTTGTATGCATGCCTGACAATGTAGGGGCATGCTCCTAATGAGACAACAGATGGTTTCCTGGGGTATTTCCTCCTAGATCTGGACCAGGGCATCACTGAGCTCCTGAACAGTCTGAGGTGCAACCTGGCGGCATCAGATGGACTGAAACAAGATATCCTAGAGGTGTTCTGTTGGATTTAGGTAAGGCGTGTGTGAGGGCCAATCAATGTTATCAATTCCTTCATCCTCCAAGAACCACCTGCATACTCTTGCCACATGAGGCTGCACATTGTTGTGCACCAGGAGGAACCCAGGATCCACTGCATCAGTGTAGGGTCTGACAACGAGTCCAAGGATTTCATCGATACCTAATGGCATTCAGGATGCCATTGTCTAGCCTGTAGAGGTGTGTGCGTCCCTCTATGAATATGTCTCATCCCCCAGACCATCACTGACTCACCACCAAAACAGCATGCTGATTGATGTTACAGGCAGCATAACATTTCTCCACGGCTTCTCCAGACCCTTTCACGTCTGTCACATATGCTCAGGATGAACCTGCTCTCATCTGTGAAAAGCACAGGGCGCCAGTGGTGGACCTGCCAATTATGGTGTTCAATGGCAAATGCCAATTGAGCTCTATGGTGCCGGGCAGTGAGCACAGGGCCCACTAGAGGACATCAGACCCTCAGGCCACCCTCATTAAGTCTGTTTCTGATTGTTTGGTCAGAGATATTCACAACAGTGGCCTTCTGGAGGTAATTTTGTAGGGCTCTGGAAGTGCTCATCCTATTCCTCCTTGCACAAAGGAGCAAATACCGGTCCTGCTGATGTGTTAAGGACCTTCTACGGCCCTGTCCAGCTCTCCCAGAGTAACTGCCTGTCTCCTGGAATCTCCTCCATGCTCTGGAGACTGTGCTGAGAGACACAGCGAACCTTCTGGCAATGGCATGTATAGATATGCCATCCTGGAGAAGTTGGACTGCCTGAGTAAAATAGGTATTTGATCCCCAAGCAAAACATGACTTTTGCCAAACATGGTTTCTCCACTAAGTACTGAAGTAAGACCATTCTTATAGTTGGTTACCAGGTTTGCACACATCTCAGGAGAGATTTTGGTCCACTCTTCTTACAGATCTTCTTTAAATCCTTAAGGTTTCTTGGCTGTTGCTTGGCAACTCCAAGTTTCAGCTCCCTCCATATGTTTTCTATAGAATTAAGGTCTGGAGACTCTTTTGTTGCCTTGGCGGTATGTTTTTTGGTCATTGTCATGCTGGAAGACCCATCCATTACCTGTCTTTAGTGTTCTGGCTGAGGGTAGAAGGTTCTCATCCAAGATTTTACATTACATGGCCCGATCCATTGGCCCCTCAATGTGGCAAAGTCTGTACCTTTAGCAGAGAAACAGCCCCAAAGCATAATGTCTCCACCTCCATGCTTGACTGTAGGGATGGTGTTCTTAAGGTCATAGTCACACCTTTCTTCCAAATGCCAAAGAGCTCAATTTTGTTCTGACCATATCACTTTCTTTCAATCATTCTCCGAATCATTTAGATGTTCACTGGTAAACTTCATATGGGCCTGTACATGTGCCATCTTAAGGAGGGGGACCTTGCGAGCGCTGCAGGATTTCAATCCATGGCAGCATATTGTGTTACCTATGGTTTGTTTGGTGACTGTGGGCTCAACTGCCTTGAGCTTATTCACAAGCTCTTCCCATATAGTTCTGAGCTGATCGCTCACTTTTCTCGTAATCATCCTTAACCCATGAGGGGTAAACCTGCATGGAGTTCCAGACCGAGGGTGATTGATGGTTATTTTGTATTTCCTCCATTTGTGAATAATCGCTCCAACAGTTGTCTCCTTCTCACCAAGCTTCTTGTAGCCCATTCCAGCCTTGTGCAGGTCTACAATCTTGTCCCTGATGTGTTTTGACATCTCTTTAGCTTTGCCCATGGTGGTGCTCAAGAAAGAGATTCTGTGGACAGGTGTCTCTAATATACATAACGAGTTGTCGTTAGGAGCACCTTCTTAAATTGACAGAATCAATCTGTGTACCACATGAGCACATAGCCAGAGT